GACGGGCTACGAATGCCTCTTGCCTTTGGGTCAAGTTGGACGCGGAATATTAAAAAAAAAATCCTTAATTATAATGATTTGGGGAAGGGTAGATGGACGGAAGGAGAAGCAGGGAGGGAAGAATAGATAACGGGACGAAGGGAAAAAGAGAGACAGGGAGGGAAGGAGGAAAGGAGAAAAACGGAGAGAGGGAGGAAAGGAGAAAAGCAGGGAAAGGAGGAGGGAAGGAGAGGAGAGGAGAACAGCAGGGAAGGAAGGAGAAAAGCAGAGGAGTGAAGGAGAAAAGCAGAGGAGGGAAGGAGAAAGGCAGGGAAAGGAGGAGGAAAGGAGAAAAGCAGGGAGGGAAGGAGACAAGAGGGGAGCAGGGAGGGAATGAGTGAGGGAATCGGGGCGGGTGGCTGACAGATACCGCAAGGAGAAGGGAGATGGAAATGTAGAACTGAGTAAGTTGGGTGTATAGCACAGGCAGACAGGAGATAGACAGACTGATAAATGAAAGAGAAAGAAGAGAGAGTGCATGCGTGTGCGTGTGTGCTTGACGGGGGAGAAGTCTCGTGACTTGCAAACGGTGTCACCCACTTCACACAAATCCAAAATGAACTCCACTACATCTCCTTTTCTCTTTCATTTCCCTCATCCGCGCGCGCGTGTAAGTGTGAGTGTGAGAGTGGGTGTGAGAGTGGGTGTGAGAGTGGGTGTGAGTGTGGGTGTGAGTGTGGGTGTGAGTGTGGGTGTGAGTGTGGGTGTGAGTGTGGGTGTGAGTGTGGGTGTGAGTGTGGGTGTGGGTGTAAGTGTGAGTGTGCGTGTGCGTGTGAGTGTGAGTGTGGGTGTGAGTGTAGGTGTAAGAGTGAATGTGAAGGCGAAGGTGTGCGCATAATTTAAGTGACTTGTAATAATAACTTTCTTACTTATGTGAACAGTTACTTGACGTTTATTTCGTAAAAAATGTCACTCTAAGATGCATTTCATCTAATTCATGCGAAAGTTCCGATCAAGTTGGCGAGTCAGTCTGTTGTACAATGTAAGTGGTGACTATAACCGACATGGTAGCACAGTGGAATATCAATCAAGCGTCCTGTAGGTCTATCGAGCTTACGACCTACAGCACCAACAACACATCCCAGACTGCTCTGCATCAAAGAGAATGTGGATACTCGCTCGATCACGCTGCCTCCAGACCGGGGCAACCTTGAGCCACGCCTGCCATGGTTCCTGAACCACCACCAAGAGGTCGGCTCGCCGCCGTCGCTCCGCCGTTGCCTCTCGTGCAAACGTGCAATTGTGCTCCGAGTTAGCCGTGACGGGAGGCTTCTATGAGTATCGAGTGCAACGCTTAAGTATACATGTGGCTTGATCCATCTATCAAGCTTCGAGAGCAAGAGCCAAATTTCCTAATGGCTAGTATGAAGGTCAAGGTTCAACTGCCCGAGGACACCGTCTGGACTACTCGACTTGGCAGAAACTCGTCAAGAACATATACCTCTGAACATACGAAAATTTCAAGGGGAATTCACGAGTGAATTTGTTATCAGCATATGGACCAATGCCAACGGTGGTTTTGTAGTGTAACAAGCAAAATAAGTTTCTACCACGTACTATCTAAAAATAATAAAATAGACTCGTATCTCATCATGGCACAAGATGCCCTGCCTCCTGAGATGAAACCCGCGAGCTGGTTTAGCGAGTCAGTCT